TCCTGCGCCTCCCAAAGTGCTGTGTTTACAGGCATGAGCTACTCCACCCAGCCCAATTTACTTTTTAAATTATATGTGTAATTAATTATATAATAAAAGTTTAATAGAAGCATCTATCAATAGCTACAACAAATTATTTATTCCATTAATCATCAACTATGCCCAAAGTGTGGTTTCTTCCCAGACTATAGAAATAAAATACAATTGTATTTACATTTTTTGGAAGTTTTTGCTTTTCTAGCTTATAATTCCTTATTAGTCATGTAGGCCTTTTTTCTTTCTTCTTCTTCTGCCTTTTTTTTTTTTTTTTTTTTAAATAGAGACAGGGTCTCCCTATGTTGCCCAGGTGGATTTCAAACTCTGGGCTCAAATTAACATTTGTTAATTGTATCCTTTATTCCTGGGCTCAAGCAATCCTCCTGCCTCAGCTTCCCAAAGTGCTGGGATTACAGGCAGGAGCCACCATGCCAGCCATAGCTCTTTTCACTGAAATTCTACCTATGGCTTTTTTTAAAACGGGGCTCTGGTGTTTCACTAAATTGACATACTATTTCCTGGTTAGCCATTTTCCTACTAGTGAGCATTTGGATTACTTAGAGGTTTTCATTATGAAATGCTGTATTCAGATTAGTTATTTTCCCCTTTGAATTATTTATTTGACTTATGTTACTATAAGTAAGGGAGTACAAACATCTGGGGTGTGAATTGACAACCATTTACAGTGACACCATGAATGTTGTTGACACCTAATGAAAAGCTAACTAGCAATTGCTTAACTTGTATTTCTTTAATTATTAGTGAGAGTGATTCCTTCTCAAATAGTTGTCTTCTGGGGTAAATTTTCTATTTATGTGCTTAAATTATTTGTTAATTGTATCCCTTACAAATTCCTATCAGCTACTTGTATATAAAGGTAATCTGTTATGCTTTCTCTCCTCTGTTGTCATACATTTATGAACGTATTTATTTATTTATTATTATACTTTAAGTTCTGGGGTACATGTGCAGAACCTGCAGGCTTATTATATAGGTATACACATGCAATGGTGGTTTGCTGCATCCATCACCCCATCATCTACATTAGGTATTTCTCCTAATGTTATATCTCCCCTATCCCCCTCCCCCTGCTATCTCTCCCCTACCCACCCCACTACCCCTTGCTATCCCTGCCCTAGCCTTCCACCCCCTGAGAGGCCTTGGTGTGTGATGTTCCCCTCCCTGTGTCCATTGTTCTCATTGTTCAACATCCACTTATGAACGAGAACATGTGCTGTTTGGTTTTCTGTTCTTGTGTCGGTTTGCTGAGAATGATGTTTTCTGGCTTCATCCATGTCCCTGCAAAGGACATGAACTCATCCTTTTTTATGGTTGCATAGTATTCTATGGTGTATATGTGCCACATTTTCTTTATCCAGTCTATCACTGAAGGACATTTGGGTTGGAAATGTATTTATTAAAAAGAAAAAGATTTATTTGGCAGATATTTGTAATTGTTATTGCAGTCAATGAACTTGAAACTCTATTCCCCCAGAGGTACATACTTCCTCAGGTCTCTGCTCAAATGGCCTTGACCACCTATATAAAATGTCTCTCCATCTTCCTCTAATCACTTTAACTCTATATTCTCTTTTTATTTTCATGACAGCACATTCCAGCTGGCATAACATATATTAACTGTGTCCCCCACTAGAAAAAAACACTTCATGAGATAGGGATTGATCATTTTTGCTGCTGTATCCCCAGCGCGTAGTGCATAGGAAGTGCTCGTAAATATTTTTGAGTGAATGATGCAAATTCTGCCATTGAAAATTACTATTATTGTAAGTAGACAATAAATGATCTTTCCTCTGTAAATGAGGCAATGATACCATCCCATTTTCTTCTGGCTCATTATAGTTAGTTTTAAAATAATTTACTCTTTTCTTATCTGAATTTTTTAATGGTATTTCATAAATTTTTGGCCAACATTTTCCTAGAATTTCGCTTTTTCCATGCTTTTGAATTCCTATCAGTTTGGATCTATTTTTGTATCTTTTTTTTTGAGACAGCCTGGGGTGCAGTTATGTGTTCATAACTTACTGTAACCTTGAACTCCTGGGCTCAAAAGATCCTCCTGCCTCAGCCTTTCCTGTAGCTAAGACTATAGTCTCATGCCATCACACCTGGCTACTTTAAAATTATCTTTGTAGTGACAGGGTCTTGGTAAGTTGCCCAGGATGGTCCTTCCACCTCAGGCTCCCAAAGTGCTGGCATTATAAGCATGAGCCATTGTGCCCAGTTATATCTTTATTTCTATATTCTAATCTTTGTACTGGTAGTTCTGATGGGCATTTAATTATAACATGGCTTAAGATTCTATAGGACTGAGTAGACTGTTGACACTTTTCATTCCAATTGTTTCCTTGAGATTTTTTCTTTAACTTTTTAATATAGAAAATCAAACATGCTAAATTAGAATAGTATAGGAATTGGAAAACTTTTTTTGAATACACAATAGAATATTTTTGACAAGGCAAAACAATGATCCTAGCATTTCTGCTTTCCTTTATATTAGCCAGTTTTTGTAAGTCCCAAGTTTATAATGAAAATATTTTCACCATGTACAAAATAGTTTCCCAAATTATAGTAACATATTATCATTGTTCTTTTAATTCACCAAGCCAGCTTTGGGCCCTTCTGTGTGTCCAGCATGTGTTATAAGAGGTGTGAAGGATACCATACAAAGAAGAGTGCTCCCTACCTGCAAGGTGCTTATAATCCAGTTGGGAAGATAAAAACTGTAAGTGAAAGAACTAGGGAATATCCTGCCATCATCCTAGCTTTATGCTCTGTACAAACCAATGATAGGCAGCTTATAAAGATTAAATACATAACAAATGAAGCAGAGAAAGCAGCTAAGAACCTGCAGTAGGTGAGCGAGAAACAAGTTTCTTTCCAAATGCATGATTGTCTGTCAGCACTGGCCCAGAACAGGGAGACTGACATTTTATCCTCAACTAGCCAGGGAGGTGGTCATACCTAGTGCAATGCTAAGCACTCAACTAGATAGGTAATTTTTTACAAGTTTTAAATGTGAACCTAATGATCCAGTTTCTGATTTTTGTTGTTGTTACATGAATAAGTTATTTAGTGGTGATTTCTGAGATTTTGGTGCACCTATCACCTGAGCAGTGTACGGCTCTACTCAGTGTGTACTGTTTTACCCCTCACTCCCCTCTTACCCTGTTTCCTTGAGATGTTTACCCCTATCTAGTTCACATCCTTTTTTTCTATACAATTTTATGACTTCTATGAGATATCGTATTGAGATGTTAATTGGTATTGCATTTAAATCTACTTATGCAGAAGGAGAATTTAGTTTTCCTTATTCAAGTTGTCTTTTATTTCTGCCATTAAAGTTTTATAATTCCATTTATATAAATCTCTTATCAGTTTCACTAAATATTTGTTTTTTGTTGTTGCTATTGAAAAATACACCCTTTTTTCAATATATTTTTGGCATGTAAAACTATTTTTTTGCATTTATCTTATAATCTATAACCTTCCTAAAGAAACTAAAATTTTGATTCTCAAATTTTCTAAATATGAATTTCTATTTGAAAAGTGATTTAAAAGATTTATTATTTCTTTGTATTTCTTAGTCCTATTAGCTTACTAGAAACTTTTATATTACATAGAAATGTTAATGGGAACATTCCTAATTTATTCTAAGTTTTGTTTTTGCTTGAGACAGGGTCTCACTCTGTCACCCAGCTTGGAGTGCAGTGGCATGATCTTGACTCACTGCAGCCTTGACCTTTCTGGTTCAAGCAATCCTCCCACCTCAGCCTCCCGAATAGCTGGGACTACAGGAATCCACCACCACTCCCGGCTAATTTTTGTGTTTTTTGTAGAGATGGGTTTCACCATGTTGTGTTCTAAGTTCTAAATAGAACAATTCTAAATATCCTCATTAAAAATGATATAGGCTCTGGTTTGTGGTAAATATTCTTTATTGTGCTAAAAGAAAACTCACTACTATGTAGATCTTTTCTATGATCAAGAATATCAAACATCATCAAATGTATTTACAGTATCATGGTTTTTCTATACTTTTATATTTTAATAATGATTGATATTAAATGTTTTCCTAATTTTATACTAAGCTTGCTATATTTTCCCTGCTATGATTTTAAGACTTCAGCATTTATTGTCACAAGTAGGATTAACTTTTTCCTTTTCTCACTACTGCACTTAACTAGTCTTTAAAAAAGAAAAGAAAAGTTATTGGTTGGAAGTGTAGAGAAAGATAAGGGATACATAGAAAATATGTATAGAAGAAACTATAGAGAAGTATAAAGATGTATCTTTAATAAAATAAAAAGTACTCATAATCACTATTGAAGTCAATGCCTCTACTCCAAAATATTTGAACACTGTGATTCTATTATATTTTCTTTCTTTTTTTCTTTTGAGACAGAGTCTTGCTCTGTCACCCAGGCTGGAGTGCAGTGGCGTGATCTCAGCTCACTGCAACCTCCACCTCACGGGTTCAAGTGAGTCTCGTGCCTCAGCCTCCCGAGTAACTAGGATTACAGGTGCCAGCTGCTATGCCTGGCTAATTTTTTTAGTAGAGTCGGGGTTTTGCCATGTTGGCCAGGCTGGTTTGACTTCTGACCTCAGGTGATCCGCCTGCCTTAGTCTACAAAAGTGCTGGGATTACAGGCGTGAGTCCCCGCATCCGGCCTCTGTTATATTTTCTAAAGCACATACAATTGACTTCAGGTAGACAGCCCAGAATGCTAACTGAGTAACATGAGAAGTTGGCATGAAAACAAAAATTAGCCAAGGCTGAACCAAATGTGGGTGATTCAGAGTTGACTATATCATCATGCAGTTACACTGCATCTGTCTCTGAGAATCTTCAGTGGCAGATTCCTGAGTTGAAAGACTAAAGCACACACCTCTTTACTAATATTTCATGTCTTAGAATTCCTTTGGCATTTTCCTGCCTCACATACCTGGATTCTTCAGCCTTGAGAGCTGTGCTCTTAAAATCGGACATCTTTTCTTCAGAGGTCTTATCCTCCATCTCCTTGGATGTATTTGCCTCACTTTCTACTGGAGTCAAGGTAGTTTGAAAATATCCTTTATCTTCAAAAGTCACTGTTAGGTTTGAGATGGTGACATGTTTTGGGGATTCTTTCAACTCACTCTTACTTTTTGTATCTTGTAGACACCCAGGCTTCAGAATGTCTTTCATTTTTTCCTTTAAAAATAAAAAGCAGCAGCAAATCAGGTAACAGAAGAGCATCAGCTAATAGATGTTTGTGGAGCAGCATCTAATACAGGCACCATTTCATTCATTGTCACTGAGCCCCTGTAAGTAGTAAGGAGGGAGTGAGGCTTAGAGTGGCATAACCACAAGGAGTGCCCAGGGTGTGTTGGCGGCAGGCTGTGTGGGAGCCAGGGCCTGCCCCACTGCAGCCTGACACATGTTCCCAAGCTCGTGTTGTCACCTCACAGAAGACACTTGTCTTCTAATTACAGTACTTCTCTGTGAATTGTCAGTGCAACAAAGGTTTCCCAGAAATGCCACTGATTCCCCAGTCTGAGTTAGCTCTTAATTAGAGCATCTAATAGGTGACAGGGGTTGGGGGCTTATAATATAAAAAAGATTTTTTTTTTGTTAAATGACTTATAACCTATATCTAAAATTGAACACTCTAAAACCCCCCTTCCTCCTAATTTCCCAGTTTCTGTTAATGTATCACCTCTACCAGCTGCTCTCTGATTCCCTCAGAATCACTGAGGCCTCAAGGCCAGTGAGGGTTAGCAGGCCCTAAAGCTGGCTCTCTAATGTTCTTCATGTCTGCACCTTCTTCTTTCCACTGCCCCTGCCTAGTCCATTACTTCTTGATATGGTTTTGTCCCTTGAAAATCTCATGTTGAAATGTGACCTCCAATGTTGGAGGTAGGCCTAGTAGGAGGTGTTTAGGTCTTGGGGGCAGATCCCTTGTGAATGGCTTGATGCTGTCCTCACCATAATGAATTCTCACTCTGGTTGATATGAGATCTGGTGTTTAAAAAAGGCTAGCACCTCTTTCTTCTTTCTTTTGGTCCCTCTCTGGCCATGTGATGTGCTGGCACTCCTTCCCTTCTGCCATGATTGTAAGTTCCCTGAGGCCCTCACCAGAAGCAGATGCCAGCATTGTGCTTCCTTTACCACCTACAGACCCATGAGCCAATTAACCTTCCTTTCTTTATTGATCGCCCAGCCTCAGATATTTCTTTATAGTAATCCAAGAATGGCCTAATACACCTCTATTACATTTCCTTAAAAATAGTGCAATACTTTTCTTCCTTAAAGATAAAGCTCCTGACAATATAAGTCATGTATATTTATTATAGCATATTTGGAAAATCATATAAGGAATAAAGTTAAAGGTAGTATGTTACTGCTTGCCAAGGTGGGTGGATCACTGAGGCCAGGAGTTTGAGACCAGCCTGGGCAACATGGAGAAACCCCATTGCTACTAAAAATACAAAAATGAGCTAGGCATAGTGGTGGGCACATGTAATCCCAGCTACTCAGAAGGCTGAGGCATGAGAATCACTTGAACTTGAGAGGCAGAGATTGCAGTGAGCTGAGATCCTGCCACTGCACTCCAGCCTGGGCAATGGAGTAAGACTGTCTCAAAATAATAATAATTAATTATTGCTTATATAATGCCACTGCCCAGAAACAACTACTCCTATGCACATTTTACTCTCATCTTTTTGTCTATTTATTTTGTTTATGTCTACTTTGAGATCATCTTGAAGTTCCATCTCCTTTTTCACTTAACATTTTATTATAAGCATTTTCCTCCTGTTATTAAAAATTGTGTAGAACTATTTGAATTTTTCCTAACTAAAAATTAGTGTTTTTGTTTTGTTTTGTTTTTGTTTTCTGAGACAGAGTCTCACTCTGCCACCCAGGCTGGAGTGCAATGGCACACTCTTGGCTCACTGCAATCTGTGCCTCCCAGGTTCAAGCAATTATCCTGCCTCAGCCTCCCAAGTAGCTGGGATTACAGGCCCCCACCAACACACCGTCTGATTTTTGTGTTTTTTGTAGAGATACGATTTTGCCATGCTGGCCAGGCTGGTCTTGAACTCCTGACCTCAGGTGATCCATCTACCTCAGTCTCCCAAAGTGCTGGGATTACAGGCATGAGCCACCATGCCCAGCCCTGCCATCATTTTTCTTTTTTTTGAGACAGGGTGTGACTCTGTCACCCAGGCTGGAGAGCAGTGGCATGATCTCAGCTCACTGCAACCTCTGTCTCCAAAGCCCAAGCAGTCCTCCTCCCTCAGCCTCCCTAGTAGCTGGAACTACAGGCACACACCACCATGCCTGGCTAATTTTTGTATTTTTAGTAGAGATGGTGTTTCACCATGATTCCTAGGCTGGTCTCGAACTCCCAGACTCAAGCAATCCACCTGTCTTGGCCTCCCAAAATGCCAGGATTACAGGTGTGAGCCACTGCACTGGCCTTTTTTTCTATTGTGTACCTAGAGGAAGTTTTTCAGCAGTAGTCTTCATATCTCTTTACCAATAATCCATCCTCCATTTGCTTAATCTTTTAAAAATACAGCTTTTTTGTTCCCTTGCACAGGAGACTTTGGTTACTAAGCTTTGCTCAAATAGTGAAGTTCTCACTTTTAAATTTGACTCTCAAGGTTTTCAAATAACTTTCCAATCCTATATTCTACTATTCTCCACCTATATTATTCTCCAGCCCAACTGAACAAAACATTTTTGGACATGACTCTCTGGCCTTTTCTAAAGCCACTCAATTTGTTTTTTATTATCCTATTTCCATCCTTATGTTTACCCATCAAAGTTCCATCCCATCCTTCAAGATACTGGATACTGATATATATTTTGAAATTGGAAAGTAACCCTTACATTGTATTAATATCCTCATTTTAGAAGTGAGAAAACTGAGGCTCGTGGATTCTGTGACTTGGGGAAAGTCACACTAGTAATATGTCACAGGTTGAATCTAACTCGGGTCTTCTGATTCTGATTCTAAAGTTATTTTCATTTCTGATACTGGGCTAAGATTGATGTTAAGGGTGGTCACTGCCTATTTCAGGAAACATCTTACAACTCCTTTACACAAGGATTCGGAGATCAAATCTCACTATTAAAATCAGGTTACAGTTCCATAGCATTTTGATCATCAATGTCAGCTAACCAAGAAGTGTGATCTTGGTAATCACTCTAGTTCTCAATTATTAAGACATGAAAGTCTTCGGTGACACGTACCTTTTCCTCTTGCTTGGCCCTGATTAAGTCATTGTTTTCAAACATGACTGTGACTCCTGAGCATTTTGTAACATCCAAGCTGTCTGTGACTTCTGTGGCTTCTCTGACTTCTGTGACTTCTGTGACAATTCTTACATCTGGGACCTCTGGGACCTCATTTTCTGGAAGATCTGTGACATCTGTGATGTCAGTGATGTCTGTGAATTCCGAGAAATCTATGCTGTCCCTGACATGTACAGGGCCTGTACCTGCATGCATGTATGGGATCGGGATGGCTGTGAATGCTGTGATATCCATCACGTTCATGGAGCCTGTGATGTCTGTGCTATTCGTAATTCCCGAGAGACTTGAAACCTCTGACACTTTGGAAACTTTGGCTTTCTCCTGATTCAAGAGGTAGATGAGGGCCACCCACTGAGAAAATAAGGTGTCCTGTTTACATGCAGAGGCACAGAGCTGTAAGTAGTAGGCGCGACCACTCACCAGCTTTACTTTCAGGCGCATGTTCTCAGCATCATGCACAGAAAGAGTCACAAACTGGAGAGGGAGAAACCTGCAAACAAGCACACATGTAACATCATCTGAAGACCTGATTGGAGGCCTATATATATAGTTTTTGTATTTGGGTTGTTTGTTTTGAGACAAGGTATCACTCTGTTACCCAGGCTGGAGTGCAGTGGTGGTGTGATCATGCCTCATTGCATACTTGACTTCCTGGGCCCAAGTGATTCTCCCACCTTGTCCTCCTGAATAGCTGCGACAATAGGTATGCACCACCATGCCTGACTAGTTTTTGTATTTCTTGTAGAGACAAGTTGTACAAGGTAGTTTTGTATTTTTTGTAGAGACAAGGTTCACCATGTTGCCCAGACTGGTCTTGAATGCCTGGGCTCAAGCAATATACCTGCCTTGGCTTCCCAAAGTGCTGGGATTACAGGTACGAGCCACCATATGCAGCCTTTTTCTTATTTTTTATAGTAGTTTGAAGAATGAGACTCAAGAAACCAGACTTTTCTCTCAGATAGGTCTGGGTAGGGGCTCCTGAGGACCATCGCATCTTAATCATATGACAAAGACTCTGATGCATAAAAACATCAGAATGGACCGGGCACGATGGCTCACGCCTGTAATCCCAGCACTTTGGGAGGTGAAGGCTGGTGGATCACCTGAGGTCAGAAGTTCAATACCAGCCTGACCAATATGGTGAAACCCTGTCTCTACTAAAAATACAAAAATTAGCCAAGTGTGGTGACATGGGCCTGTAGTCACATCTTCTTGGGAGGTTGAGACAGAATTGCTTGAACTCGGGAGGTGGAGGTTGCAGTGAGCCCAGATTGTGCCACTGCACTCCAGTCTGGGAGTGACAGAGCGAGACTTCATCTCAAAAACAAATAAAACGCATCAGAATGCCAACTATTTACCATTAGAAAGTGTCCATTTAAATTCATCCTTCAAAGTTGAGACTTAAAGTTAAGCAATTTACTCAAGATCATAGAGCAAGTTAGTGGCTGAGACAAGACCAGAGTTAATTCTTTTGGAAGCTGGGATGCAGGGGAAGAGGAGGCATGTTCTAGAAAGGCAGTTTATTATGTGTCTTCAGTTTTTGTTAATTAGGTTTAATTTTTAAAAAATTAACTGCCTGTTTAACATGCTTTATCATACATGATTTCCCCCATCTTTAAGGATGCTCCTCTTTGTCATTGGCAGCAGAAAGTGCAAGTGAGATGCTCCTTTAGCACAATTGTCCTCAGTGTTTCCATTTTCAGATCCACAAGGGTAATGCACATTTTCTGAGGGACCTTTAACCTCTTCTCTTTATAACTCACCTGGTGAGCACCAGTTTCTCTGCAGGAGGAGATGTCAGGAGACTTTTAAACAGGGATTCTGTATCTTTTTGAGTACCAGGTGTCAGATGTGCCAGTAGCATCACATTGGGGATCTTGTGGGTAGAGCTGGAAGAACAGATGCCTACAGTCACCCAGTTGGCTCGGTTATGAAGGTAAATGGATTCACCTCTCCTGTTGACCTGAGTGCAGAAAACAGGAAAAGTCGTTATCTGATGAAATATGTGGCTTTGACAACCTTGCTTGCCTGATAAGTGTAAGAGAGGGCAGAAAATAAAGGAGAAATGAACCATGGTGTATCTGTTCCTTCACTTGGTCATGCTAATTGGAGGTACCACAGGGAACAGGCACAGTCCCTGACCTGTGGGGGTCTACCAGGGACAAACATTAAAGAATTTAAGTTTGTAACTAATTATTATTATAAGAAGTTTTACCAAGTACAAGTTCAGGATGTTATGGGAACATGTAACACAGGACTTGACTCAGAGCAGGGAGATAGGCAGTGATGTTCTGGTAACAGCTAGGTCTTAGAAGGTACAGACATTTACACATAAGTTTATTTAAAATGTTCCTGCATAAAAGACAAGTAGCACAAGTGTACAAATAATATGCAATATTCTTTAGTCTTCAGTTTAAATTCCATAGAGCCAATTAATAAATTCCAGAAACTCTTGCCAAACTCTTCTTATATTTATAACCTCAGAAATATAGACAATAGTAAAATGTAGTAAAAGATTAGGAATGAAGAGTTTTGGATATTTATTGCCCTTATTTTAGATATATTATAACTGTAAGTTTATAAAATTTAATTTTTTTTTTGAGACAGTCTCATTCTGTCACCCAGGCTGGAGTGCCGTGGCATGATCTCAGCTCACTACAACCTCTGCCTCCCAGGTTCAAGTGATTCTCTTGCCTCAGCCTCCTGAGTAGCTGGGATTACAGGTATGTGCTACCAAGCCTGGGTAATTTTTCTACTTTTAGCAGAGATGGGGTTTCACCATGTTGGCTGGGCTGGACTTGAACTCCTGACCTCAGGTGATCTGCCCACCTTGGCCTCCCAAAGTGCTAGGATTACAGGAGTGAGCCACTGCACCTGGCCTATAATTTAATTTTTAGTAATGGCTGTGTTTAAGAACTGACTTACATGTTTCCTGAATACTTACCAGTCGACCAGTTCCAGCACACCCCTGGATATGGGGTCATGGAAGTCTCCCCTGAGAAAGAGACCTCTAGCTGATATCTAAACCATGTGGGCGATAAACTGGCTGGGTGTAGAGGAGAGGTTTCCAGGCAGAGAAACAGCATGTGTAAAAATCTCAAAGTCCAAGAAACTTGGCCAATAAAATCTCTGCCACTTGGTAGAAGAAGAGACTGGAGGATGGGCAGGCAGGAAGGTGAAAGAAGGCAGAGAGGAGCCACACTGTGGTTTCTCCACTGTATGATAACTGGTTCAATTAAAAAATACATTACTTGAAAGAAAGAGGTTGTAGCTCACACTATTGATAACCTATCCCAAACTGTGCCCCTCTTCTTCCTGGTTAACAGAATCCTGGTTTTGACTAATATCATGGCTCAGGGATAATGACCTAGCTGAGGGATTAAATCCCGATTAACCTAAGTGGGTAGTGGTGGTCCTACTCTACCCCTTGCCAGTGACTGGTTTCAGCAGGGGCTGTGACCAGTGAGACATAGAGGGGCTCTCCTACAACCCTGAAAAACCTTTCTCAGAGCCACCAGGAGACAGAGCCACCAGGATGAGATGAATGTCTTCTACTTCTGGCAGTTGTCCTGTTGGGATGTGGTGCCCTGAGGGGAGCTAGCTTCAAGGTGATAGAGCAAAGAGAAAAAACCTGGGTCCTCTACTGGGAGTGAGCTGATGCCCTGGGGTTCTTTCACTCTATTTGAGATAATTGCTTCCTTTTTTATTTTTTTAAAAAGTATTCATTTGTTTGTTTGTTTGTTTTTACAAAGTCTCCTCTTAACCTCCAGGCTGGAGTGAAGTAGCCCCCATCCTAGCTCACTGCAGCCTGGAGCTCCCGGGCTCAAGCAATCCTCACTGCTCAGCCTCTCAAGTAGCTAGGAATATAGGTGTGTAGCACTGCATCTTGCTAATTAAAAAAATACTTTTAGAGATGGGGGGGGGTCTCACTTGTTACCCAGCCCAGTCTTGAACTTCTGACCTCAAGCAATCCTCCCGCCTTGGCCTTCCAAAGTGCTGGGATTACAGGCATGAGCCACTGTATCCAGCTTAATTGTTTTTCCTTTTTCATTTAAACCTGTTCAGTCAGGAATCTTGATAACATGCAGCCAAAGACATGTTAACCAGGGGTTGTGCATCTTGAGGGGTATGACTTATCAAATTACAATAGGGGGCTACGTCTGACCTATCGACTGCTAACTACCCCAATGTCAGAAAAGTACTATGTAATTTCATTAGAGTGCACAAAAGGAAAGGGCACAGGATAAAAGGTGAAAAAATAAAAACATTATTAGTAGGAAACAAGTATGTAGAAGGTAAAGTACATCAAATCATGACTTGTCACACACATTCTAGGGACATCACTAAAACATCAGATGTTTTGGGAGGCGAAGAGCTCACACTAGTACTCAAGTATTAGTGCAGAGAATGTGTTTATGGAAGATGAAGTTTCCTTACCTTTTGAAGAGTCTGTTGTCCTCCCACGTCACCCCTCTGTGAAATCAGCTGAGCAGCTGCTCAAATGTGTTAAGAGTTAGAGGTAATAGCTCAGTGTTTAGTGTTAGACTTTGTTGCAGCATTTCTAGGAGCTTTAAAGGTATGACCCCTATCATTGAACTTATTTCACCATTTCTTTTTCTGAATATTTTAATGTTGAATGTTTACAAAGTTAGCATTGCTCCCAAATGCACAGAAATGCAGTTTCATTAATAATGTAGGTACCTTCTTATGAGAAGAAAGCTTTTCTTCCCAACACCATCTGACAATTATATTTTACCTTCAGAATTAAGAGTTAAACTTCAGTGTAACCCCTAGTTGTGTCATAGATGTTCTGTAGAATGTCTTCTACACCTAAGAAAGAAGTTACCTATATGTTTCCCTGTGGCAGGAAATACCAAAAATGGCTTCATGTAATTTTGGGAAGATTATAATAGAATGACAATTATGGTAGAGTTAAGGCAGAAGTCCTTCACAAGAGTTTGTTGGGGACATTTGAAATGAATGTCCTTTAACATTATAATTATTTCAGGTTTTTAAAAGTTCCCAAACTGTTATCTTTAGTAGTATCACACATTCCCTTGGCACATTTAAAACAATTCTCCCATCCTTTTTAGTTTTCTTTGAGAAAATTAATTATTGAAGTTATTGGAACTTAACTCAGGTCTTGAATATGATTTACCTGGATAAAATTGCTCTCTAACATGGGAGGAGATACAAAAGGAGCATACTCTCCTCCATCCAACATATTTTGAAGATGTCCTGGATCATGGGAGTGTGGGGTGCAGAGAGCATCTTGCTTATTGATCCTCATAGTAGATTTGCTGGTGTTCTTCTTCATTGCACTTGCATATAAACAAAAACACTGAGGGAACAGAAATACAATTAATGGATACAGAGAGAATTTAATATCAGAATTAAGTTGCTTCATTTATTTATTCAGCACACTTTATCAATATCTGTGATATGCTTGACACTGCACCAGGCACTTGTATTAATACATATATCTAAACAGGACTGGTAAGATCTGTGCCCTCCTGAGCTTACACTTTATGGGGAGACAGGTAGTAAGCAAGCCAAAAGAAATTCAAATAAGATGTTGGATGATAGGGACTATCAAGACTTGAAAACAGATACATAGAATAAAAACCGACTGGGATGTGGGGCCGGAGACACTTATTAGGGTATTAAGGAAAGGGCTCCCTAGGAGGTCTCTCAATATATTCCCCCACAGACCATTATTTTCTATCTTCCAAATTAATGGTACTCTCTCCATCATGCAGGGTTCTCCAATCCCTTTTTGGAAGTAGAGCATCAAAGCTATACTAAACTGAGAACACTTTTCCTCTATTTACCCATAACTGAGGCTTAGCTCTTAGTTGCATGCTCCTTATGAGATCAAGTCCATGGAAAGATTGTCTTCCACAAAACTGGTCCCTGCTGCCAAGAGGACCACTGCTGTAGATAGCATCTTCAGTACATTGAGTCTCCAGGAGAGAGAAAGAAGAAAATAAATCTTGGAAAGTAAAGCAAGTGGCAGAAGAAGGAAGAGGGAAAGGAAGGAAAGAGAAAAGGGCAGGAGAGGTTGTGGGCATGCAGCCAACATGGTTTGTCTATAAGAACCATCAAACCTCACCTCAACTCAGGCCAAGCCACAATCCTCTCTAGTAGATGAAGTTTTTTTTTTTAACTCACTTCAGTTTGAGCTTCCTCCTTTTCATGATGAAATCTTTGGTAAATGAAACAAAAATAGAAAATCAGATGTACACAATGGCTCACACCTGTAATCCCAGCACTTTGGAAGGTCAAGGCAAGCCCATCACTTGAGCCCAGGAGTTCGAGACCAGCCTAGGCAACATATAAGATCTTGTCTCTACAAAAAATACAGAAATTAGCTGGGTGTGTGGTGTGTGCCTGTAGTTCCAGCTACTTGGTAGGTTGATGCAGGAGGATTACCTGAGCCTGGGAGGTTGAGGTTACAGTGAGCTATGATCTTGCAACTGCACTCCAGCCTGGTTGGAGTGAGATCCTGTCTCAAAAAAAAAAAAAAGCACTAATTTGTATACATAAGAAATTAATTTCAATTCTAAACCTTACTGTTATTTCAAGTGTGAGGTCAATGCCTTAGAAAGAGTTAAAGTTCTTTTAAGTATACTGGGTAGGTGAAGTGGAGTCCAAGGCTGCTGTCTATGTCTGAGCTGAGCTGTTGTAGATGATCCTCATCGTGGTCTTTTGATGAGTGGAACTAGAAAGTCATGAGTCCCTAGCTCATAATTGGCCTGAAACTGCCAAACAGTGAAATCCCGGGCTCCTATGGCCAATGAGGATATTTGATAATGTGGCAAAGGAAGCAGTACAGATTATATTACTGGGGTTGCATTTAATTGCTATTTAAAATGTGCTCCTTAATGATTACCAGAAAACCTTTTTTTGTCATCTTCTAGTAAGATTAAGAAAGCTCCTGGCCAGTAGCAGTGGCTCACACCTATAATCCCAGCACTTTGGGAGGCCAAGGTGGGCAGATCACTTGAGGTCAGGAGTTCAAGACGAGTCTGGCCAATATGGTGAAACTCTGTCTCTACTACAAATACAAAAATTAGCTGGATGTGGTGGTAGATGCTTGTAATCCCACCTACTTGGGAGACTGAGGCAGGAGAATTGTTTGAACCTGGGAGGTGGAGATTGCAGTGAGTGGAGACTGCCATTGCACTCCAGCCTGGATAACAAGAGCAAAACTCTATCTCAAAAAAAAAAAAAAAGAAGAAAAGAATGCTCCTGTATGAAATTTGGAGAGTGTGTGTCAGAGGCTTGGAAGAAGGTCCTAAAGACTAGAGTGGAGCCATTTAAGAAATACACAGAGGATGATGGCACAGGAACAGCAGCTGTGGGAAAATTCCAATAAGAAAGCATTATTTAGGAGGCTGAGGTGGGCAGATCACCTGAGGTCAGGAGTTCAGCCTGGCCAACATGGTGAAACCCTATCTCTAATAAAAAATACAAAACTTAGCCAGGCGTGGTGGCATGCACCTATAATACCAGCTTATCCTAAAGGCCTCTCTAGGAGATCTCTCAATATATGCCCACTTGGGAGGCTAAGGCAGGAGAATTGCTTGAACCTGGAAGCAGAGATTGCAGTGAGCTGAGATCATGCCAGTGCACTCCAGCCTGGGTGACCAAACAAGACTGTCTCAAACACACACACCCCAAACAAACAAAAAAACAAAAGAAAGCATTAAATTATATAATTAGCAGCATATTTTCCTTCCTAGTGGCACATAAAATAATAGTATATCTTTTTGTTTTTTTGAGACAGAGTCTCTGTCATCCAGGCTGGAGTGCAGTGGCGTGATCTCGGCTCACTGCAACCACTGACTTCCTGGTTCAAGTGATTCTCCTGCCTCAGCCTTGCAAGTAGCTAGTATTAGAGGCACATGCCACTACTCCCAGCTAATTTTTGTATTTTTAGTAGAGATGGGGTTTAACCATGTTGGCCAGTGATCCACTCACCTCATGATCCACCCGCCTTGGCCTCCTAGAGTGCTGGGATTACAGGTGTGAGCCACTGGGCCTGGCCAATAATGGTATATATTATAATTAGTGGATCTTAGATTTGAGGAGACACAGCAGTCAACTCTTGTTCATACAGAGTTAAGTGAAAGAGTGCACATTTTGGAAAAACAATTCACTCTGAGAAAATGAAAACATCCGCATTCTGGAAAGTGTGTCTACTGTTTGCAGACACTTGCTAATCAGGAGATGCCACATGGCTGCTGGGATTAGGGAAAGGCCCTTTCCAGTGCTGTCATTTATGAGATCACCAGAATTCCTTGCATCTGAGAATTCTTCTTCCAGAGAGCAAACAGTGGATGATCTCCCAGGGGAACAGGTGTAGCTGTGATTCAGGACACAGACAGGGAGGAGGAAGTGAGAGGAAAGGAAGGAATTCAGGGATATTTGCAGCCACAATTGGGTCTTACCTCTCACGTCCTTTTTGAACAAAGTTGAGGTTAGCTGAGGAGCAAAAAGTGTTAACAGGCTCTTTTATCAACTTTGCTGTGATGTTCTAAACATTTGTTCTAGAATTATTTTTACACTTTTGGATTATGTGTATAGCTGATAAGTGTATGCTAAATTTTGACTAGTTTTGTTGTAACTGTGATTTGAGATATCTGTACACTACACTCCTCACCCCTCTAACATCTCTACTAAAAATACAAAAACTAACCAGGTCTGGTGATGCATGCCTGTAATCCCAGCTACTTGGGAGGCTGAGGCAGAAGGATCGCTTGAACTCAGGAGGCAGAGGTTGCAGTGAGCCAAGATTGTGCCACTGCACTCTAGCCTAGGTAACAGCAAGATTTTGTCTTTGGGGGGAGAAACATTAGTCCAGGCTCTTAAAACAGAGGATTCTGTGAAGCCATCATTTTGACCATCACACACAAACACACACACACACACACACACACACACACACACACACACACCATCGTATATTTTACCAATGGTAAAGTAAATTATTTACTAGGTTTACTTTTTATTCTCTACAGGGTCTTGCTCTGTCACCCAGGCTGGAATGCAGTGGAGTGATGTGATCTTGGCTCACTGCAGCCTCAACTTCCTGCGCTCAAGTGATCCTCCCACCTCAACCTCTTGAGTAGCTGGGACCACAGGTATGCACCATCACACCTGGCTAATTTTTCTATTTTTTGTAGAGATGGGATTTCACCATGTTGTCCAGGCTGGTCTCAAACTCCTGAGCTTAAGCAATCTGCCCACCTCGGCCTCTCAAAGTGCTAGGATTACAGATGTGAGCCACTGTGCCTGGCCTTAGGTTCACTCTGAATAGCTGGAGACAGTATTCAAGTTTTGGTATATGTCTTTCCAGTTCCTTCCCTCCTTCCTTCCCTCCTTCCTTCCTTCCCTCCCTCCCTCCCTCCCTCCCTCCCTTCCTTCCTTCCTTCCTTCCTTCCTTCTCTTTCCTTCCTTCTTTCTTTCTTCTTTCTCTGTCTCTCTTTCCTTCTTTCTCTGTTTTTTTGGAGTCTGATCTTATTTATTTGTTACTAAAAAACTCTTATTTCTGACTGGATTCAGACTTAGAAGTAGAAGCTTGCAAAGACAAAAGTCTGTGTCTCTTCTCAATTTGTTCCTGGGCTTCTCTTTAGCCTCCTTCATTCTCTTGGCCAAAAGTTTAGCATATTCTGCAGCCTCTTCCTTATTGTTCTTAGTACGCTCCTTCTTCAGAGCAATACACCGCTGTTTGTGCTGCAGGACACGTGGAGTAACAAGACACTGAATCTTGGGTGCTTTGGTCCTAGGTTTCTTACCTTCTTTGTTTAAGGGCTTTCTTACAATGTACTGGTGGACATCATCTTCTTTAGAGAGATTGAAAACTTTTCGAATTCTGGCAGCTCTTTTGGGCCTGAGGTGACGAGGCTCGGTGATATCAGTTAGTCCAGGAATATCCTTCTCTCCTTTTTTTTACTATAATCAAGTTGAGAATGCTCAGATTAGCATGCACAATGCAACCATGAACTGATTTTCTCTTTCTTTCTCCAGTTCTCTTTGGTCTGTAACAGGAATGCCCCTTACTCAGTAGCATGTGGACACGGCCATGCATCAAGACACCCTGCTTCATGGGGAAACCTTGTTTGTCATTCCCACCACTGATTCGGACAACATAACCCTTCCATTCTTCACCCAGAACGTCAGCAGCAACTTCTGTCGCCATACGCTTCTCATAAAAAGTATGAAGTTTGCATTCATTGTTCACTTCAATGAGTTTCTGGCAGCCAGTGGCTGGGAAGGAGATGTTCAGCTTCATCTTGACGCAGCGATATGCCTTCTGGGCACCACGGAAACTTCTTTCTTCTTTCATTTCTTGTTTATTTTGGGGGTCTTTTTTTGAGATAAGGTCTCTGTCACACAGGTTGGAGAGCAGTGGTATAATCATGGCTCACTGCAGCCTCAACCTCCCCATCCCAAATGATCCTCCCACATCAGCTTCCTGAGTAGTTGGTATTACAGGTACATGTAACCACACCCAGCTAATTTTTAAATTTTTTTTTTTTTTTTTTTTTTTTAGAAATTGACTCTCCCTGTGTTGCCCAGGCTGGTCTCAAACTCCTGGGCTCAAGTGATCCACCTACTTTGGCTTCCCAAAGTGCTGGGATTACAGGCATGAGCCACTGTGCTTGGCCTACTTAATTTCTTTATATATACACACACACATACACATAAGTTAAGTAATGTGTGTTAAAATATATGTAATCATATATCCCCATAACATTAAATTGTTTTAAAAACAGCAGTTATCAATCATGGTGTCAAGCTATTTGGAACATGACAATCTCTTGTAAAGAAGTGTCAAAAATAACTGTAGCCAGTGGTTAAACTGATGCTTAAGAAATGATTTTCTTTTAAAAAGAAAGAGATGGTTTCTGAGTTCTCTTTCTGACAAGCTCCTTGTACTCTGCTTTGCCTTCTTGGTTTGTAGGCACAGAAGAGCAGCCTGACAATCAGTTCAGCCCCCACCCTCTGATCCAATCATCTTACTGAGATATCATTATTAATTTTGGTGACTCAAAAATACATGTTGAAATCACAGCATGGGATGCCAAGGTGGGCAGATCACCTGAGGTTAGGAGTTTGAGACCAGCCTGACCAACATGGAGAAACCCTGTCTCTACTGAAAATACAAAATTAGTTGAGCATGGTGGTGCATACCTGTAATCCCACCTACTTGGGAGTGTGAGGCAGGAGAATCGCTTGAACCCAGGAGGCAGAGGTTGTAATGAGTTGAAATCGCACCATTGCACTCCAGCCTGGGCAACAAGAGTGAAACTCCGTGTTAGAAACATATGCTTGGTACCACAAAGAAAAATTAGAAAATTAGCACTGAGACAAAGGATTTCTCAGCAAGGCAATTTTAGTTTCTGCAGAAAGAGTGCTCCTGTTAGCCATCTTGCCGTGAGAATACAATGAACAAAGGAAAAGCAGACATCTTTATCCTTTATGCATTTGGGGTCATCCTTACTGCTGTGTCTGATCTCTGTTGGTTAGAGCTAGACTTCACAATTTAAACTAAAACCTGATTGGCTAACAACTTAAAACTTTTCTAAACAGGTAAAAACAGTGGAGAACAAAAGGAAAAGAGGAAGTCCAAATAAGGAAGGGACACGAAGTTGCTTGGAAAGGACTTAGAAAAGTAATAACATAAAATGCTTGGTTAAAATACAAGGACATAGAATGTACTATGTGCCTGTGAGCATGTCTAACACAAATATCTTGGTTAAAGCAGAAGGACATAGAATGTACTTATTATTTTATATCTAACAGCAACAGAATAGGGCGTCACAAAAAGCTACAAGCAAAAAGCAAGAAGGCTTTGGAGAAAGTGTTTAAAACAAACTATTATTTCTAATACTTATAATTATTCTTTAACAAGAAAGGAAACTTTGAAGAGGAACTTTTCTACTGCCCACAATTTCTTCTTCTTTTACTTTATAGTTCCTCTTCAAACTTGTTTAACATATCTTGACTTAACTGTTCTGTTTGACTTTTTAAGAGAAGTAACTTTTCTGAATAAGGTGGAGGAGGGTTTGGGGAGATCTTAGTAAGAGCTGTGTTCACCAGTCTTTGTACTAGCCTTCGGATGCATGGTATAATACAGCACTTAACAAGAAGGAATATACTTATTACAGTTGCTAAAGAAGAAAGAATTGGGGTTATGATCTCTTTCTATTGACTGAACTATTTCTTAAGCCAATTTGAAATAGGGTTGTTAATGCCATAATTTTTTGCTCATTTGATAAGGCAGTAGGTCTTTGGAGAGCTTTTGTTTTACTCTTATTGGGAGCAGTGTCGTTTGGGATAAAGGTGCAAGACTGAGTTTTGATCATAACACAAACACCACCTTTCTCTGCCAATATCATTTCTAAAACTATCATATTCTCTTAGGCTATTTGACTAGTGGATCTTAATTGTTCAGCTATTCTTTTAATGGCATCTTTGGTATAGTTAACAACCTTTGGTTGTAATAAATATAGTTTATTTAGTCTACATTTTTATTAATCATTATTCACTAAAACAACATGGTCAAACCCTGTCTCTACAAAAACACACACAAAAAATTATCTGGGCATGATGGCCTGTGCCTGTAATCACAGCTACTTTGGATGCTGAGGCAGGAGAATCACTTGAACCTGGGAGGTGGAGGTTGCAGTGAGCCGAGATTGCGCTATTGCACTCCAGTCTGGGTGACAGAATGAGACTCCATCTCAAAAAAAAAAAAAAAAAGTTAAAAACAATGCAGAAAACATGCTTTCATTTCAAACTCAAACTCTCAGTGAAATTATTTCTAAGAAAAAGAAATTCAGTCACCAGGTGTTAAATCTCTCAGCTTTTCTGCTTGTTCAGGTTGAGGTTGAATAAATGAAACTAGAAGGAGAAGAGGAATGGGGAAAAAAAGACATTCTCCCCTTGAATTACCAGAATTAATTGAACTATTCATTTCCTTCTCCCTCAGTTTCAAACCCAATTTGCAGTAACAAGACAGTCACGTACCAAAAGGTTGGGGTGAAATAGATCTCTCGATATCTCCTGGATGTCGACTAGAAGAATAATTTCCAAATAGCACGTTTTCACTCTTTTCACATTTCTTTAGCAGGTGTTTATGTCTACCTGGCAGGCAACTAATCACTTAGTAAAAGAAGCACAGGGCAGGCTGCTCTGGGCATTGTTTTATTGCTGCTACATCACAATCATAATGTGCTGACGTCATCTCTGAAGTAAGATAAGAAGAGCACTGGGGAGGAGCTGCCCTGCAGGTCCGCCTCTGAGAGAAAGTGTGGTCAGCTTTCCCATGGAGCCCCAACAACTTGGGAGTGGGCATTCAGATGGTGGAGTTAAGTTTTCAGAGAATTTCTTGGAGAGAAAATTGTTCGATGTCAATTTACGTCATTGATCAATGATGTAAATATGATATAAATGGTAATTGCAGAACTTATAGCTTGCAGTGAATGCCAAGAATGAAGTGCTCATGCAGTTCCAGCTGAGCGGGGATAGGGGGTAGCTCTTCCAAGCTCAGGCAGTTCCAGCTGAGCGGGGATAGGGTAGCTCTTCCAAGAGTCCGCCCAGCATCTGTCCACCAAGTATTTATTGAAAGGGCTTGTATTAACTACACACATACACTAGATGGCCATTTGAGGTGGGTTGCTAAGGCACTTGTGACCTTGCATAACATTCAAGCTGCATTCTCAGGAGGCTGTTTTCAGCATTCGTTATCACACCACACACTCTACTCCCTGTCCTGTTTTCAGGGTCAAGGAGTTTCATTCCCAAGCACAAATAACATACACAGTACCTCAGTAATTTTCATGTCCCAACCTCATATGCCTTACACATAAGTTTTAATATGTTGCCATGCACTCCCTACATCTCCCCCTTCTTTAATTCTTAGAGCATAATGGTCATCCAATGCAAGGTAAGCTTCTATCATTCTTCCCTGCTCATAGATGCATTGGGTAGCAGCACAGAGCCATCTGCAGATGCCTAGCAAACAGATACAAAAAAGAGTAAGTATAGTGGCCATCACCCAAATGTGTCTGTTTAACCTAGACAACCAAGTGTTCAGGTTTAACCGTTGAAAGCCTTCTTGTAATTGCTGAAGGGT